TATCATTTAGTTTATCTTGCAATTTACTATGATCTTTGATTTAATCAATCATTTTTTCTTTATCCTTGATCATAATTTTGAAGTAGTTAGAATTATGTTAGAATTCATTTTTAATGAATTTCTCTATACTTTCTACCCTAACATATTCAAAATTTTTTCTTAACAATATTTCAATATCTTAATTATATGTTACTCTAACAGAATATTTATTATTAAAACGACTTGATAAACTCTGAATTTTAAGTTCTTTGATATTATGCTTCGCATGTTTATTAAATGATTTCGGTGAGAGCACTGAAAGACTAGCTTGATCCCCTTCTATTTTTATTTTTGAGCCAATCAATTATATTTGGGAATAACTATTCTAAAAAATAATTGCTATGATTACCTGATGTTTTTTTTCATATGATTGAATTACCAAAAGTCAAATAAAAATAAAAAATATTTCATTTATATTATTCTTTGCTAAAATCACGTATATATCATTTATAAAGTATTATTTTCAATTTGGAAAAAGTATATTATAGATAATTTCATTACTGATTTTTTCTAATATATTTTACTTATTTCTTAAACTACCTGTCCAATCAATCTGAGTGTTCTCCTTTCCTTTTTTCATTTATTATTATAAAGTATTTATTTTTACAACTTAATTGTAAACAGATTCACCAGAATGTCCACTTAATTCTTTAGAACTTCTATCTTTTAAGGTGTCTTCTTATTATTATTATGATTTTTATTGATTCTGATTTAGTGTATAAAATCTCTTTTGTTCAATTTGATCTACAGATGGCTGCTATTTTCTTTATTTTGAATCTTGAGATTTGTTGATAGTGTTTAATTCATTTTGATCTAAGAAAATAATAAGCTATATTACTTTTTATTGATTATGAATTTTTATAGATTGTGGCATGATGTTTTAACTTTTTTAATGAATCAAAGATATGATTTCAAAATTTTTAGGTTATTCAACATTTTATTCATTCTCATTAGGTAATTTTACTATTTCTTTTAAACTGAACTATTCACAAATTTACTGTTATTAGTTGATCACAATTGGTTATTCATTATGACTATTGATCTATTAATGTATCTATCATTATTGATCACAATTCTAAATATTTGTGTAATTCCAACATTCTGGGGTATTTGAGTTAATCTCTCTTCTTGAATTTTAGATTGTAGATATTGGGTTGAATCCATTACTTTTATAAATTGGCAACTTAGGTAGAGGAGATGGAGAATTTTAGTTATTGGTATCTTTAATTGTGTTAGAGAATGTGTTTTAGTAGATGTCATCATTTTCTAAGATATCCAATACTTTCATATTGATTGAAGGATTATTAAAATTGATTGATTTATTTATACATTTAATTGATTAAGATGTATCATTCAACAAAATATTGTAGCACATTATTATTCATAAAATGTTAAAAATGAAGATATTTCAAACTAATTGATTTTTACACCTGATTTCAGTTAATAATTGTTAAATACTTCTTATTCACTTCTCTTATCTTTGCATTATATCTTCGAAATGTCAATTTAGTATTATTATAATTATTTCTCATTATTTGTCACAGCTTATTGATAATCCAATTTATTCTATTCTAGACTTGAATGGATCATTTTAAAACTTTTGTATATAAGTTTATTTAATTAATGAGCTGTTTCAATTACCTATTCAAAAAATTTAACGGTATTTTAATCTTCAAGCTTTTACTTTTGGCTAATTTAGAGATTATTTAAGCCTAATATTTTTGAATTGCAAACTAATACGGCTTATTTCTTCGTTTCTTAAAATTAATTAATTCTCATTTGTCTTTGAAATTCTAATTCTGCTACAGCATTTTCTTCAATTTCATGACTCTTCAAGGCTAAATTCAAGGCACATTTAGAACAAAAAAAATGTTCGATTATCATTTTCGGTATAATATTTAGCCTATAAATAAAAATTTTATTATTTATACTTTTTATTTGGATGCTTTAAACAATTCAAATGAGAATTGGCTTTTTATTTATAAATATTTGAATTTTTTAATATTCTGTCTTATTCTTTAACATTATAAGATGATTTTTCTTCTGAATTTGATGATATTGCTAACTTCATTAATTCTGTTAAAAAAATTATACATTAATTTATAAATTAATTTTGATGTTTATAAAAGGACAAAATATATAATGATATCCTTTCAATTAAGCCAATTTCTTGACCTCTTAACAAATATTGTATTTTATTTCTTTAAAATTTTATTCACCAACTATTTTCAAGATAATATAAATTATATAACAATAATTTATTAATGATTTAAAATCTTCTTTTTTGTTATTACAATTATTATTCTTATGGGTAAAATTAGCTAAACAGTTATTCCAAGTTTGCATGGAAGTTTTCAACTCCACGATTCATCTCGCATTGTAATTCACTCAGAAAATATATATCATTAATAGATTTAAGATTCAAAAAGATTACTATCTACTAACTAATTAAATTTTGCTCAGAAATCAAACAAATAATAATAGGATCAGATTCACTTCAGATAGGCAATCGAAACTAATTCAGGAAATATACAAAAGGCAGTATTGGAAAATGAAATGATACAAAGTTTTAATCCGTAGCCTATAGATGAATATAATAATAGCGCACTGAAGAATAATGATGCCATGTATAATGATGAATATACTGTTCCATTAGCACTGTGTTTTGAAGATCCGAAGTCGAATAGTTTTGTTTCTTAGAGTTCTATAAATTAACAGAATAATTAGGGAGCTACTGTGAGTCATTTGTTTATTTAGAGTAATCCAAATCTTGCTTTAAACAAAAAAAGATAATGAATCATTATTATCATTCTAAATATTATAAATATAAAATTACACTGAAATTTCTATATGTTTAAAATGAGAAGTAATAGATTCAAAGGTATGTTTGTAATATAATATAATTCACTTCTGCTACAGCTTTAGGCAACTAGTAATTAACAGATAATAATGGTCTTAAAGGTCGAGGATATGTTTTATATTTAAAGCGTAAATTAGATTAATTACCAAGTTTTGAAAACCATTAAGATTTTAGAAGATCCATAATTATCTAATACATTAGACTTCCGACTATATAACAATTTTATTCAAATAGCTCTATCTGGAAATTCAGCCCAAGGCTTTAATATCATTCTGAGAATAACAACTGTTATTAAAATTAATGATATCAATAAACTTTAAGCTTTGAGATCAGTCATATTAACTAATTAACCAAAATGAGAAAAGTTGACTATTTATTTCAAAAAGAAACAAAAAGTTGGAAATAGGAAATTCATAATCATGAAGTATTGATCCCAAAAATTCAATAGTTTCTAATTTAATATCTTTTGCATTAAAATTGGAAATCAAAGTATGGAACAATTTCTTGGTTTGAAATTTAAGAGTTTATACTCTCTATTTCATTTCTGCTTCTAAGATTTTTCACTTATCAGAAATTTTCAAATTATCTTTATTACTTGAAAACTGAAAAATAACTTTTGATGAATTTTTTTAAAGCATTTCTAAAAAGTTTTATAAACATTTAATAGGCTATTCACCTTTCTAATTCAAAGCCATTTATTTCCTGTTCTCTATATATTTTCTTAATCTATAAAAATATTATGCTAAATATATAAAATAATCTCTAAAAATTTTGAAATTGATCTTTATCCATTATCTAAGTTTGTCATTCCAGGTGGCTTAAACTTTTTTCTTAAGTATTTTTTTGCGTATTCTAACTCTTTCTGTTCTTTTTCATTTTTCAAATTTTTTTCAAATTAACCATATATTTTTTATCCATAGAGGCTTTCTACTGTTCTTAATCACCATTATCTGGTCCCCAATTATCATCAATTTGCTTATTAATTGTATTAGCCAATCCAATTCTTTAGAATTTATCATATTGACTTATTTTGTCATCTGCTTATACTTAAACATAAAGATTTTCATTTTCTTTCTGTAAAATTTCAACAGCTTATCTTTATGGATATTGTATAGCATATTTCTCATCTACTAAGAATAATATTCTTATGGTTTTAAAGTTATTGATTTTATTTAAACATTTAATGGTTTTTGATTTGCCTTTTAAATATAATCGCCTATCATTACAATATATTTTACTTCTCATAATCTTCTCCAATACTACTATTAATTGAACGCAGACATACTTTTATATGTGTTCATCAATTAATAACCTACATATTAAAATGTTTGTCGATTATTATAAAAATTATTATTATTTAGTAATAAAGTTTTTTGGTTCCAATTGCACCAATATTGAATAGGAATTAGACTTACCAAATAGTAATCTTTTTATTGAAAAAATTATCTTGCAGTCAATGAATTAAGATAAGGTTATATCTTTAATAATGGGAGAAGGATTGTCTGTTATACAAAATCTCAATGATTTCAAAGATGATATTGATAATATATTAACAAAATTGAATTAATATTTTTTGTAATTTATTGCAATTTATTATTTTATGAACCCCTTAAACAATTAGGATGATAGTACTTTATAAGTTTATTTAAATTTAAAGTTATAGGAGATCTCACAAATTGTGCTTAAAATCAATAAACAGAACATAATCTAAAAGATAAAAACCCCAAGATTATTTATTCGATAAGTAAAACACCCAAACGAAAAAGAATATAATTATCAATTAGTTCTACTTGTTACCAATCTTTAAGTAGGTTATCTAGACAATGTTCTATCTGTTTTGGAAATATTATCATAATTAGAATATCTACTTAGTTTCATGAGGCAATTAGAAATATATTGAGAATCTGGTTCTATCGATAAAAATCGTTCGCTTCGTTTTTTATATATATGGCTTTCCTAGATTTTTTTATTAAGTAACAATACTCATTCTAACATTATTTGGATATTTTATTTTAATGTTTTAAATATTGGAGTTGTTATCTGAAAAGATGATCTCTGTTATTTGATACACTATTTAATGACTTTTTTTGGTATCCATAGGTTTAAAACTAAATATAACACATGTTTCAATTTTCTGCACAGCCTAATTTTTCATAGACAATAATAATTAATCATAATATCAAATATTTAAATTTTCACTAGCCTAATTTAAATAATTGATAAAATTTTTCTAAAAAGAATAATTTCAATTATTTAAACATTTTCTTAATATAAATTGTTTCATTAAATTATAAATTAATGTTTAGTTTCTTTATGTAAGTAAATTTTATACACAAGATCTTATTTAAATATTTTAAAAGTTATTTTAAGTTATTATAAATATTGTATATAAAAATAATTATTATACTTATTACTAATTTCTATTTATTAATAACAACTTTTTATTACTTAATCACTTTATTTATTGTATTCCGATATGCTTTTATGTAGATGGTGATAGTTAAAAAGTAATTTTGATAATACATTAATTATGATAGAAAAAATTAAAAAATTGATAACTTTAGAAAAATGAAGAGCTATTAAAAATACATCATCTTAAATTTTTGCTGTTAATTTGGATTTATGAAAGAATTCTATAAACAAGAAGCTAAAACATAAAAGAACAATTATTTATGGGGTTATTCTATATTATAATTTATTGGAAATTTTTTAAATACTAAAATAGACCTCATGATCATATATCTAATTAGACTAATTAAAGAAGACTGTGTATATAATAATCCATTAGAAATATTTCTTATAATCTTGTATACTCTTTGATGACTTATAATTAAGAGTGAATAAGTGAATCGAAAAACTTATATTAAAAGTGAATTGTTTCTATTATTTATTGAAAGTTATTAGTTGGCAGTACCATCATGCAGCAGTTCCAAAAACAATTAACAACTAATCCTAATATGATTTCAAGTTAAAATAGATTCTATACTTCTGCATGTCCTCCTTCTAGTATTTGATGTTCTAAATAAAAATACAATAATTCTTAATTTTACTAGACAATTAAAAAAATATTAATGTTGTTAAAGTGATTGAACTTTAAAATTTTTCCATATTGAAATTTCAAATTATAATTTTGTTTCCACAAGATGAAACCATAATCTTCCCTGTTGAATCAAAAACAATTACAAGGCAATCTTCTTGTTATTCAATAGTATCATTTATTAATAATAATTGATTTGGATTTATTTGTTATTGTTGTTAAATTATCCACATTTTTGATGTTTATTCATTTAATTTGTTCAATATATCCTTTAATTATTGATATTCTTGAAATAATTTGAATTTTTCTTATTTAGAATTGATTTTTCTAATCTAACTTTGATTAAGTAATTTAATTTAATTTTAACAATTAATTTAATCATCTTTATATTTTATTAATTAATTATTATTAAATCTAATTCTTCGAAGAAACTATATTCTGAGCATTTAGATCCCGTTTTATTTAAATGTAATATCCAATCTTTGGTATTATTAATGAATTGATCTAATTATTAAAGAACCATTGATTTTAAATTCAGAATGACTCAAATTATTTAATATTATGTATAATTAGATTTTCTATGATATTTAACTATTCTATTTATTTTCTTCAATCTTCTAAACAATTTTTAAATCAAATTGTCTTATATTTTTCCTCTGATTCGAAATTATCAATGCATTCTCAAAACAAAAGCCTTGAATTTTATGTTAGTTTTGAATCCAGAATAACCATTGATATAAGTAACTCAAGTTTCTTTTTATAAGGCCCATTTTAGATAATACTAACAAATTTATGGTATATAAGTAAAAAATAATAATTACAGCAAAAAATAAAGTTTACAAATATTTGTGAATTTTATTTCTTAAAGCAATAAACAATTTGTAAAAGTTTTATTCAATTTTGGAAAATATTTCTTACCATAATCATAGAAGATCTGAAACTAAAATCCATCATTCAAGAATCGATTGCTATATTCACATGCAGTACTTTACTGCCTCACACAGCAGGCAATTAAAACAATATTTATTAATAATACATAATTATATGTAGATGAAAGAAAATTGCATATAAATTTAATATTTGATTTTATGATCTATAATTCTTTTATCTTTAGAGCATCACTATTAGAATTTGATGTTAATTAAAGGAAATTTGTTATAAATTTTACCTAAAATGATAAACTTTAAAAACTGTATTTTTCATAATGAATATTGATATAGTTTATCTGCATATTCAGAAGGAATTAAATATTAATCACACATGTAATATTTATGGAATAATCCTCCAAATAAACTATGTGTCCTAGAGATTATCTGATAGTTTATTCTCAATAAATTATCCTCAATAAATTAACAATCTAATTAAAAAGCAAAATTACCATTATAATTATTTGGAAGTAATTAAGTGAAATTGTAGATGATAAGACTTTTCGTCTGAACTAAATTAAATATAAAGTGAACCAAAATTTTTAAATTAAATCAATATAGATGAATACTCCAACGATTAGCTAATATATTAATTGACTTAACTTATATTATTAATGATCTTTAACTTCATATTTTTAATCATCAAAATCTTATTCATAACTTGATAACATTATTATTATTATGTCTATGTTTAAGAAGAAGCCAATAATATTCAATTTAACATTATAAGCATGTACTGATTAAGATTATTATAATAACTTAGATATGCTAGAAATATTATTTGATATTTAAAATTTTTAATTTTGAACCATCTCTATTAATTCAATAAAAAATACCAATTGTTATCAGAATATATATATTAAATAGTATTTTAAAAGATTGATTTCATAAATGTAAATTTTAAATCTTTTCTGATTTTCTTCTAATTATATTTGCAATCCTATTAAATAATATTCAAGTCATCATATCAATAAATAAACAGCTTTGTTAAATTAGGTTATGATTTTCTACAACAGAAATTAAATTACTTATGCCATTATTCATCAATTTTTTCGGGATAATTCTTTTAAAAGATATTTATGAAAAAGTCGAAAATAAAATGGATATCATTGCAAAATCTACCATATGCATCTAATCTTTAAATATTTATTGAAAAATTGATCATAAGCTCCATCTTATCAAAAAATGTAATATTTTAATACTTCTTAAAGTGTATTTAATATTTTTTATATTAAACTTTATTTCTATTAAAATAATTACAAAATTATTTAATACTATTCATGTTTAAATGAGAATGTAATAAATTCCTTTATTAACGAAAATATTCTTATGAATTTCTTATTAATCTTATTAAATTCTTTTGAAAAATGAGATAGATCAATATTATGAACAACATCATATATACTCAAATTATTAACAATCCTGATTTTTCAAACCCTTTGAATTTTCAGAACTTAGCTTTTTTTTAATTCCACTCTTTAAAGGTTTATTTTTTTATTAAATTTACATTATTTTTCCCCATTTAATTTAGGCATTTTCAATATAATGAATCTGCTAAATAGATTTAAGTAATTCTTCTTTTTGTCAACAAAATTTAAACTAAAATCTTCTTTTACCAATATTTGCTTAATTTATTAGTCTGTGTTTTTTGATTCAAGGTTTCTTTCTTTTTATCACTTATAAAATGAGACTAGATGAATTTTTTAGTTTGCCCTTTTTCCTTTGTTTGCACATTGATTGAAAATATTTAACAAAATCACCAGTGGACTTTTGGTATTATTAATTTTTTTAGATTTAATATGTTTATCTTTTCTAACACATATTCAATGCATTTAATTTTCTTAGTTTATCCTAAGCTTTCACATCCTTCTTTGTAATCATATAATCCCCTATTATTCAGAATGTAAAATAAAATTACTCTCATTAATAAATATTTCATAACCAAATTTTGTTCCCTACAACATAACTAAAAATTAATTTTAAATAATCTATATAGCAATTCAATACTTAAAGAATGAATCGCTCAATTAAGATCATTTTCCATGCGCTTCACATACAAACCCCTTTTAATTATTTATAAAGCATATAAATACAGTTGTTTATAATTGTAGAAGTACAAATCTTAAAAGCTTTAACTATGTATTTATCCAAAATATAGATTTCAGAGATTTGGAGTCAGTGTATTAATGAGAATTTGTGGAAATCATAATTTAGGATAATTTATTTGAATAAATGAAAAATCTGATAGTTTTTTTAAAAATTTTTTTTGTGATTGAGAGCAATTTTTTCTTAAAATCTTTTTGTGATTGAGAATAATTTGTTCTAAATATATTAGCATATTTTTTGTATTTTTATTTACAAAATATGTAAGTTCCACATTAAATACTATTGTTGAAATTTTAATCTTTATTCTATTCTTTATTGCTTTTTTAAAGCAATCATAAAAAAGTTATAAAATATTATTTTACTAGTTTTATGTAAATTTTTCAATAGGATAATAATTGAAAGAAGATACTTTCTAATACTTTATAATTACAATATAGCATTACCATTTTGTTTTGAAAATATCGTAGTGTTTAAGAGATTATTAAACTACTGCATCAAAAAATGAAGCTCATTTTGTTAATCTATATAGATTAATTTATTAAAACTTTGACATTCAATACGGCCTTGTCCTTAATAATTACTAATTTCAGTTCCAAATAATTTTTCTGGCAAATACAAACATTTCCTTATATAGATTAATTTTATTTTATTTAATAAATTGCTAAATTTTCGTATTATAGAGATAACATTTAACTTAAGTTACATTCTTTCCCAATATTGTGATAATATTGGTCATCTTTCTATATTTTATAAAAATCTTGACAACACTTGAATAATTTGATTATAAAATAATACTTTAATCATTTTTGTGAATAAATTGAATTAATCCATTTCGTATAAAGAGAAAATTTGATTTGTAAATTATTACTTAAGGACAATGTGAACAAGATAATTAGAAGTAGTAAAGTCATCAACAAAAAGTTATTGACATTTTTAGGGTGCTTTATACACTATTATTTAAATTCATTTACTATTTAAATAAGTAGCTTTAGAATATACTGCCAAACTTAAATCAATACACTTCAATAAATTTATAAATCAACTACCCTCATAACTGAAGAAACTAATCTCCCTGTTTAGACTTTATTCTCTAATCCATTTTTAGAACTAGACAACTGAAAAGTACTATCAGTTCTAAGTGTTGTAGTTAGTTATTATATTGCGGAGCTCAGTCTTAACGCTTGAAAGAAGGTAGACCTAGGTATAATTAATGCTAAGGGTTTTAACATTTCAGAAAACAAGTTTTTTAAATATATTAATCTAACAAAAAGAAATTAGTTAATAAGATAAATCATAGAAGGTAATCTTTTTAAAAGAATAAACATTACACACCACTTGAAGTTGAAATCATCACTATTTATAATTTTAAACTATGAATCAATAAAAAGTTTTCACGTTATAACTAGACATGTGAAGACAATCAATCTTAATGAAAGTGGATGCACAAGCAATGTTGAATATTGCCTATACAATTTAAATGAATAAAAAGACTAATGTTGATTCCTAAGCTCAACTAGATATTTATAGTTATATTAATAGTAGAATTACTTAAATTTACTGAACATTTATTTTCTGGAGATGATGCAAATATTAAGACCAGTAAATACAAAATTAAAAATGTTCAACGGATCAGATAACAACGATGATTCAAATTCTTATTCAAATATATCGTATCCAATAGATAAGCAACAATTGTTAGCGGTTGTACCAAAATAGTTTTTTCAGAAGTTCTAAATACTTTTAAACTAATAAGGAATCTAAGAATATCAACCAAATTGTGTTACTATTGGTTATGGATGTATTTGAACTATCAAATGCAATACTTAGACCTGTTAAGATTCTTGTATATCAAGACCATAATGCATTTTAACTAATACGAATCTAAAAAAGGCATCTTGCTCTACAAAGAGTGAAACAATTCAATCTAATCGTGATAATACAGTCATCATACATTAAGTTAATAAGGCTACTTATAAAAATTATTGTGCTTTGGACAGAACTAAGTAAGGTATGTAGGGATCAAGATTGTGAAGATCTACCTGTAATTATCAATATTCATAAAAATAAAATGATTTTTATAAGGTTTATTAATTCCACAGGTCCTGGTTTTATTACAATGATAGTTTGTTTTGGAAGTAAGAATTAATCCTTGATACTAAGAATGGAGGATTAGGAAGATGAGGATGGGAAAATAATAAATGTAGAAAAATAATTTTTCAAAATTTGAGTAGAAAGGCTGATGCTGAATGTGATGCACATTTTAGTGACTAAAAGGTATAATAATATCTTCTCTTATCTAAGAGAAGACCTTGTCTATTTGGTTGAGATTAATGAAACTTGCGATGATCATGATAAATGTGAGGATGCTTTAGTGAAAATTCATGTAGGTTGTTAAAGCCTTTTCTCATTATTGTACTATCAATACGTATACTAAGATAGTTTTAACATCTTGTGTTAAAACTTTCTTAAAGGCATCATGCAATAAGGGTATAAATGGTACTTGTGGATATTTAAAAACTGATAAATGCTAATTATTATATAAATATTCAGATGAAGTTTCAATGATTACACTACCTGCTTAGCAGGTGGTGGTTTTATTAGTAATGGAACTGCTTAGTAGCTAGAGGAAATGCAATAATTAAAAAACAGAAATTTCATGCAACAATACTATTGGTTGTGATAAATTGAAGGAATGTTCAAATTTTTTTGAAACTACATTTGAAAGTTGTAAATCTCAAACTATCACTTCTGGCACTGGCATAACTGATTGAATTAAATATATCCCTCTAAGACTTTGCTCAATTTATTCATAAACTGGATGCTTGTTAGGAACAGATAAAAATTGTATCTTCTCTTATACTACAGGAATCAAATTATGTAGATTAAAGTAATTTGAAAATATAGATTAAGGGATTTATAATAATGTTATTTCTGTAAAAATGTGTTTTTAATACAAAGAACGGTATTTCAAAAGCAGCTTGTTCGAAATTCAAGTTATAGAAGCATGTAGACCTTTAATATATGTAGGAAAAATTAAAATAAATATTCAAAAACTCATTCTTAAAGATTATTTATTATATAAGATTATCTTAGAAATTCAAAAAGGATTTATATTATATAAATTTTTTCTTTATAATCCTTATTTCTAACATATTTATAAGAGGAACTATAGCACAAAATATTTAATGTCTTATAATTAAATTAATCAAAATTATATTATAAAATATCTTAAGCCACTTATACATATAAATTTCTTTTTCTTAAGGAAACAATAATTAAATGCAAATAAAATAGAATAGAATTCCATAACTACTGTTTATATGAGGAAATTAAATCACAGAAAGTAGATAAAAAATATCTGATTTTATCACAATTCATATTAAATATTAGAATAAAAAATAATTCTCTCTGAAATCTTTTACTTATTTTTTATTGTTAGCATATTGATTTCAGAAAAATAGCTCGAATTAAAAATAAATATATTAAAAAGTGAACAAAAAAATATACTTTGATTAAAAACTAGCAGTTATTTAGGTAAAGCATTCAATTCTCATTAAAAACAAAAGAACAACCAAAAGGATTGCTTAAATACTAAAATAACCTGAGTTTTGCTTTATTTAAATAAAATTGTTGTTTGAAAAAAATTATTAAATATTTATGCATAGTCTAAAGTATATTCTTTAATATTTTTGGTATCAACATTCTCTAAATTCTTTGTAAGATTTTAAATTGATTTAACAATTATTTTGAATTTAAAACATTTGGCCTATTAAAAAAATAATTAATATTGATAAAATCTTTATAATTTTGATGTCTAAACTGTTAAATTAATGAACATTTATTGAATTATGATCTTCGCCAACTAATAGTTAGAAATTGAATATTAATGGAAACAACTATATGAGGGCATTTGAGACAACTAAAAGGACAAGAACTAAGAAATTATATCAAGAGAAAAATATGAATTGAATGAAATTACATCATAATGCCTAAAAGAGTAAAAGATTAAAGCTGTGACATTAACAAGCCTAAAATTGAAAAAAGAAAAGACTTTTATTATAATAGGATGTTCAATTTCAATTTATATACAAAATTATTTACGTGATCAATTATTCTATAAAACTATAATTGCTAAAATGAATATGTTTTTGAAATTAATTTCATATAACCCTTCATTGTCAGTTAGAAAAAGTAAATCAGATGAAAGTTTCAATCTATAAGCAATTTCAATCTAGCTCTATCCATAATTAGCACAGTTCTTTAATCTCACATATCAGAGTTCATCAATAATGCGTAAATTATTGGTAAATTCTACTAATATTTAAGATTCATAATATAGTTGAACAGTTTTTAAATAGTATTTATCTATACTACTAAGAATGTTTGAATGGAAAGAAGATAAAATCCAGTCATATCATAAACATGCTCCATTCAAACCTTGAATGCATTGGTATATTATTTATTCTTAAGAACAATGAATTGGTAAAATGCATTTGGTACCACCGTTCTAACATTCTAATAATTCTAAGTAACATAAGTGCGATCATAACTACCATTTAATCATCTCATCTCTATGCTCTTGACGCATTTTCATAAATTTTGGAAGTAGTGCATGTTCATTCAAAATTAGCATCTGAAAAAGTAGTCCTTACTAAAAACCTAAAATAACAGAATTTATTACACATTTTTAATAAACCAGTCATATTCATTTATTAATTATTCATAGCTATTGCTTACATTTTCATATTTCTTTCTGAATAAACAAATAAAACTATTAGTTATGATTTCAATATTAAAGAATTTAAATACCAAGTCTAATTAACTTCACATTCTTTTTCTTTAATACTGTAAATTAGAATTGCATAAATTTGAAGTGTTATTAACATATGCCAGAGTTAAAGAATCAATAAATGAATTGAAATTCGTTGTAATTTCATAAATAGGACAAGGCAATTCATTACTTCATTAGCATTATTAATTTGTTATTGTTTTCCACACTATTTACTTGCTTAAGAATCAGAATACTCTTTTAGATACTGAATTCCTTATCCTCTTTCGGTTACCGTGCATTCTTAACAGAAACTATCATTACTATATACATTACAGTTGATGTTTATGTATTAAAATCATTAAGAGAAAGATCGCCAAGTATGAAGTAGTACAATTCGCTCTAGATGGTATCTATTTTTGAAATTATCCATTAGTGTATGAATTGATAATGTATTTGTTAAATAATTTTTCTCTTAAGTGTTGTAAAAGTAATCAAATATTCATGCATCAATAGACACTATTGATTTTTTAAAGCTTATTCTATTAGGCTCAACTAATTTATAGCCTTTATCATGTTACTCCCTATAAACCCAGCTGAAGTAAGCCTAGTGTGTAATCTCCAATATCTCACCTGAGTTAAAAGAAGAGAAAAAATATTTAGGAATAATAGTGGAAACAATAAATATTAAGGGTTAAATATATACTCTTTTGCGAGTAGAAGGAAAAGCTTTGAAAACGAAATCCTTATTTTTCCTTATAATACATAAGAAAGCAATGGAATTTCAGATAATATATTTATTAAATTACTATTTAAATCATTAAGAATTTTCCTTCCTGTTGCTATTTTGATAAAGAATTATAACTCTTTATACCTATATTGAATTAATCNTGGAAAGAAGATAAAATCCAGTCATATCATAAACATGCTCCATTCAAACCTTGAATGCATTGGTATATTATTTATTCTTAAGAACAATGAATTGGTAAAATGCATTTGGTACCACCGTTCTAACATTCTAATAATTCTAAGTAACATAAGTGCGATCATAACTACCATTTAATCATCTCATCTCTATGCTCTTGACGCATTTTCATAAATTTTGGAAGTAGTGCATGTTCATTCAAAATTAGCATCTGAAAAAGTAGTCCTTACTAAAAACCTAAAATAACAGAATTTATTACACATTTTTAATAAACCAGTCATATTCATTTATTAATTATTCATAGCTATTGCTTACATTTTCATATTTCTTTCTGAATAAACAAATAAAACTATTAGTTATGATTTCAATATTAAAGAATTTAAATACCAAGTCTAATTAACTTCACATTCTTTTTCTTTAATACTGTAAATTAGAATTGCATAAATTTGAAGTGTTATTAACATATGCCAGAGTTAAAGAATCAATAAATGAATTGAAATTCGTTGTAATTTCATAAATAGGACAAGGCAATTCATTACTTCATTAGCATTATTAATTTGTTATTGTTTTCCACACTATTTACTTGCTTAAGAATCAGAATACTCTTTTAGATACTGAATTCCTTATCCTCTTTCGGTTACCGTGCATTCTTAACAGAAACTATCATTACTATATACATTACAGTTGATGTTTATGTATTAAAATCATTAAGAGAAAGATCGCCAAGTATGAAGTAGTACAATTCGCTCTAGATGGTATCTATTTTTGAAATTATCCATTAGTGTATGAATTGATAATGTATTTGTTAAATAATTTTTCTCTTAAGTGTTGTAAAAGTAATCAAATATTCATGCATCAATAGACACTATTGATTTTTTAAAGCTTATTCTATTAGGCTCAACTAATTTATAGCCTTTATCATGTTACTCCCTATAAACCCAGCTGAAGTAAGCCTAGTGTGTAATCTCCAATATCTCACCTGAGTTAAAAGAAGAGAAAAAATATTTAGGAATAATAGTGGAAACAATAAATATTAAGGGTTAAATATATACTCTTTTGCGAGTAGAAGGAAAAGCTTTGAAAACGAAATCCTTATTTTTCCTTATAATACATAAGAAAGCAATGGAATTTCAGATAATATATTTATTAAATTACTATTTAAATCATTAAGAATTTTCCTTCCTGTTGCTATTTTGATAAAGAATTACTTTAATTCGTATATTGATATAAAATTATTGATTATATATTCTTAAAAATCAAGAAATGTATATTTTGAATTGAATTTCCTTAAAGCGATTTAATAAAAATTACAATCAACTATAAATTTACACAATGTATGGTCTTCCTTCTTTGAAAAATGTATTATATATTTTTTTTAATTTTAAATATAAACCCGAAAGTAGATTTAATAGAAATACAATATTTAAAAAATAAAATGAAGCGCAATTCTCAAAAGAAAGAAGATTTGTTTGAGATATTAGCCGAATTAAAAGTTGTCAATGATTAATACTTCTAGGCCATATTTGAAATGTTCAAAAGAGAAAAAGAGAAACTAATTGAAGACTATTTAGAATTTCTTTCAAAAGACGAAAATCAGAGGTTTATAGAATAATAATTTTAACAATTCGAAAATCAAATTTTCATTAAGGAAAAGTTGTTTTAAGTTATTAAATTTAACATTTAGAAAATTGCTATAGCTGTCAAAAAGATTTTAGATCATGATTTTAATAAGAATAATTTTTCCTAACAAAAGAATCAAATAATTAAAATAGAACTAATTAAAAAAATATCAGAAGATAAGAAAATCCTTGCATTTTTATAATTTTTAATTCATCTCACAAGTTTAGATAGTAGATTTATTTAATGTGGTTCAAATTCACTTAATTTGTTAGTGGAAATGAATGTAGATCTGAGGGGAAAATTTTATTAAAATATTTAGATTAAAGATACATCTTTAGTTGGTGCTAATTTTGTAGGATGTAATTTGAGCGGATCTCGATTTGAAAATGTAGATATTAGCGGAATAAATTTGAATGGAGCGTAGTTATTTAATTGTAAATGGAATAAAATGAAAATTCCTGAATTAAATGAAATGGATGCTCATAAAAGTAGTGTAAATTCAATAAGCTTTTCATCTGATGGTATTACATTAGCATCTGGAAGTGCAGATTTATCTATCCAATTATGGGATATAAAGACAGGTCAATAAAAAGCAAAATTAGATGGTCATAGTGGTCAAGTAAATTCAGTTTGCTTTTCACCTGATGGTACTATGTTAGCATCTGGTAGTCAAGATAAGTCAATCCGTTTATGGGATATAAAGACAGGTCAATAAAAATCAAAATTAGATGGTCATAGTGGTCAAGTAAATTCAGTATGCTTTTCACTTTATGGTACTATGTTAGCATCTGGCAGTGTAGATAAGTCTATTTGCTTATGGGATATCTGTACAAGAAAAAAAAAGTTGAGATTAAAAGGACATAGTAACTCAGTTATGTCGATATGCTTATCTCTTGATGGAGGTACTTTGGTATCTGGTTGTGTTAATTAATCATTATATTTATGGAATGTTAAGACTGGGCAATTAAAAGTCAAATTAGATGGTCATAGTGGTCAAATAAATTCAGTATGCTTTTCACCTGATGGTACTATGTTAGCATCTGGCAGTATAGATAAGTCTATCAGATTATGGGATGTTACGAAAAGATAATTACAATAAAAATTAGATGGTCATAGTGGTCAAGTAAATTCAGTATGCTTTTCACCTGATGGTACTAAGTTAGCTTCTGGTAGTGATGATAAGTTAATCCTTTTATGGGATGTTAAGCAAGGTCAATAAAAAGTCAAAATAGATGGTCACAGTGGTCAAGTAAATTCAGTGTGCTTTTCACCTGATGGTACTATGTTAGCATCTGGTAGTGAAGATAAGTCAATCTGTTTATGGGATGTTTAAAAAAGTCTATAAGAAGTTAAAAAAGATGGTCATAGTGGCTATGTAAATTCAATATGCTTTTCACCTAATAGTACTATGATAGCATCTGGTAGTGAAGATAAGTCAATCCGTTTATGGGATGTTAATACGGGCCAATAAAAAGCAAAATTAGATGGTCATAGTGGTCAAGTAAATTCAGTATGCTTTTCACCTGATGGTACTATGTTAGCATCTGGTAGTCAAGATAAGTCAATCCGTTTATGGGATATAAAGACAGGTCAATAAAAAGCAAAATTAGATGGTCATAGAGGTCAAGTAAATTCAGTATGCTTTTCACCTTATGGTACTATGTTAGCTTCTGGTAGTGATGATAAGTTAATCCTTTTATGGGATGTTAAGCAAGGTCAATAAAAAGTCAAAATAGATGGTCACAGTGGTCAAGTAAATTCAGTATGCTTTTCACCTGATGGTACTATGTTAGCATCTGGCAGTGTAGATAAATCTATCAGATTATGGGATGTTAGGACGAATCATTAAAAAATCAGATTAAATGGTCATAGTAGTTGGGTCAGATCAGTATGTTTTTCATCTGATGGTGTGAAATTAGCATCTAGTAGTGACGATAAGTCTATACGTTTATGGAATCTTACGACAGGTTAATAAACAGCCAAATTCGATGGTCATAATACTTATGTAAATTCAATATGCTTCTCTCCTGATAACTCTACATTAGCATCTTCTAGTAAAGATGGATGTATCCATTTATGGGATGTAAATACAGCACAATAAAAAGCCATATTAGATGGTCATAAAAAAAGTGTAAATGCAGTATGTTTCTCTTCTGATGGTACTACATTAGCATCTGGAAGTGATGATAAATCTATTCGTTTATGGAGTATTGGGTCAAGCATTCAAAAATTTAATTTAAATGGACATAGTAAGTCTGTTTTTTCTTTATGTTTCTCTCCTGATGGCGCTTCTTTGGTATCTAGCAGTGAGGATAAGTCTATCCGAATATGGGATGCTAAGTCAGGTTAATAAACAGCCTAATTTGAAGGTCATAGTGGTAGTGTAAATTCAATATGCTACTCTCCAGACTAAATTACATTAGCATCTGGAAGTGATGATAAGTCTATTCGTTTATGGAATATTAAGAAAAGATAATAGCAAGCCAAATTAGATGGTCATAGTGATGCAGTTCGATCTGTATGCTTCTCTCCTGATGGTACTATATTAGCATCTGGAAGTGATGATAAATCTATCCGTTTATGGTATGTTAAGACAGGTCATTAGAAAACAAAATTAGATGGTCATACTCATTTTGTTATATCAGTGTGCTTTTCTCCAAATGGTACTCTATTAGCCTCTGGTAGTGTCGATAATTCTATTCGTATATGGGATGTTAAAACTGGATAATTCATAAAACGATTAGATGGCCATAGTTCTGCTATACGATAAGTTTGCTTTTCTTCAGATTCAAATACATTAGCATCATGTAGCGACGATAGGTCTATTCTTTTATGGGATGTTTAAAAAAGACACCAAACAGCCAAATTAGATGGTCATATTAGTGGAGTCCGATCAGTGTGCTTCTCTCCTGATGGTACCTAACTAGCATCTGGTAGTGTAGATTTTTCAATCCGATTATGGGATGTTAAGACTGCACAATAAAAAGCCAAATTTGATGGTCATAAAAAAACTGTATATGCAGTATGTTTCTCTCCTGATGGTACTAAATTAGCATCTTGTAGTGCAGATAAATTTATCTAATTAAGGAATGTTAAAGCAGAAAAATTTCAAGCCTTATAAAACCCTCATATTAAATATAGAAGATCAATAATCTTGTCTCCTGATGGTACTACATTAGCATCTGATAGTGCAGATAATACAATCCATTTATGGGATATTAAAACAGGATAATACATATAATTCTTTGATAATAATTACAAAGATATATTGGCAAAATTCAAATTACCCATATTTAAAAATAACCCTCAGAATAATAGCAGTATTTATAATTTTATATTATTTAGCCTCCACTTATATTACTATTCTTTTGATATCCAAATAGCTAACATTTTAATCTTACGGGGCTTTAATCTGGAAAGGAGAATTTAAAAATCAATTAGGCATAAATTTAATAAAGTAATTTTAGTAAAGAGGAGCTCTCATCCTAGAGAGTTAAAGAAAATTAGAATAAATATCAAATTGATTATTATAACATACATTAAATCATATATGTTTTAGTATAAATTTTATGTAAAATAATTTAGCTTATCATTTATAATCTATTATTGAAGTATTTTTACCAATATTTATATTCATTTGTATACACTCCTGCTTTCATTTTAAACTATAATATTCTTAATGCTATCTCAATATAGATACCGATAATTTAAACTCTTATAAGAAATAAAATATATTTTAGGCTGTTATTGTTATACTACAAAATAGATTTGATTTACATAGTTTATAAATATATAAATATATTTAGATAGAGAATTTTAAAAAGCACCAAACAAAAACAAATAAAAATTCAAATAAAATGTTCGTAATCAATTTAAGGTAGGTAATATAATCGAAATGGAATATTTAAATTTTTTAAATAAATAGTTTTTTATGAATTTATGTTAAAGTTAGCAAGGGGGTTTTTTCAAAGTGAAATTCTCTAGCTTAGTGTTGGCATCCAAATCCGTTTCCATGGCCTAAATGTTTCTCCCTCACACACTTTTTCAGAACAATGCAAGGGCATAGAGGGAGTGCAAATTCCGTAAGAGAATAGTTCCAAAAGGTGAACTCCCTCTTATTATTAAAATTCTTAAAAAACTGCAAGTAAAACCGAAGACTAAACTTAAAATAATCCCTAAACCTTTAAGTTAACCCCAATGAGATAGTATTTTTTGTTGCTTACTGAATATATAGAGCTAAATTTTATTAGTTCATTTCATGAAGGTCAATTTCTATATGGAAAATAGAAAGGTGTACACATTAGTAACAATAATTTGATGTAATATTCTGGCTTGGTAAGGTGCAACTTTTCGAATTTTGGTATGATTGACTTAGCTCTCAAAGTACACAAAAGATTATTCTTGATTTAATTATTAATACTGTAAAATTTCATAGACAAAAGGAAAAGTATAAGAAAGACTTATAGTTTTATTTTTCATCAGATTCACCTTCACTTTTCATAAATTTCAACTTATTGTTAAGTAAATCTTAATCATTTTTAATTAATTTCCAAAACTCAATTGATCTCTAATTCATGATAATAATTTTATTTTAGCCTAATATCAAAACGAGTATATTCAATCCACATTGTTTCTATAAAAATAAAAAATTCAGCTCAAAGTAAACTATATAGCACTGTGATAATATAGTATTTTTTGATAAGAATTTTCTATTAAATTTAAATAATTTATCTGAAATTTTTAAAGTGAATCTTATAAAATTGATTAATAGAAATATTGGATGAGCATTTTATCTATTAGAATATAAGTTTGGCTAAATTTACATAATTTTCTGGCACTTTAAATCCTTAGTCATAAAGTCTGTATATTTTCTTTCAAATCTTGCCATTTATTCTGAATTTTACTCATTTAATAATTAATATTTTTGATTCACTTCTACTTAACTTAATAACTTTTATGGAGTAATAAGTCAATAAAATTCTATTTCTCTCAGAAAATTGGGCAACATAGGCATTTTCGATACTTAAAAAGTGGAGTACCCTATTTTTTTTCTATCTTCTGAGTACATTATATTATTTTATTTAATTATTTCAATTTAATCTATACTAACCATCTACATATCTACATGTTTTAAGATTTTACCTTTCCAAGTTGCTTTCCATTACCCAACTTTTTTTAGATTATATCCATAATCACTATGCCATTAAAGATATTTGAACTATTCTAAATTATATAGGATTTCTGGATTTGTTTATGGGTCTTTATTATAATCACTAACTATTAAATTAAAAAATGACATTCTCAATATATATCCATCAGAAGTAACATACTTGATTTCTTCATTCTTAATGATTAAAATTTAGAATTTTTTCTTTAAAAATCGATGCCAAAACAACATTTCATCTTAATACTCTTAAGATTAATAATTTTAAACATTTGATAGTATATTTAGCGTAATATTCAAAAGATTTTAAAGACTAAATACTTTTTATAAAGAAATTTTATTGCCTTCTAAGACTAATCATTAATGTATGTGATCAGTAATGATTCATAAATTTCTCTCTAGTTTTTACTTTTTGTACCTTATTATTTATTTCATTATCTTGATTTATACAATGTCTTTAGTAAAAAAGTTACAAATGTATGAGTTATTAGAGCGATTATTTTTTATTTAATTATTAAATATAAAAGAAAAAAGCTTTTACGTTTCTCTATTGGGCTATATAACTAAAGGAATAAATAAAGTAATTCACTTACATTCTCTAGAGATTAAAAAATTCTATCAATTACAATAATGGAAAAATCCTTATTNTTATAGTTTTATTTTTCATCAGATTCACCTTCACTTTTCATAAATTTCAACTTATTGTTAAGTAAATCTTAATCATTTTTAATTAATTTCCAAAACTCAATTGATCTCTAATTCATGATAATAATTTTATTTTAGCCTAATATCAAAACGAGTATATTCAATCCACATTGTTTCTATAAAAATAAAAAATTCAGCTCAAAGTAAACTATATAGCACTGTGATAATATAGTATTTTTTGATAAGAATTTTCTATTAAATTTAAATAATTTATCTGAAATTTTTAAAGTGAATCTTATAAAATTGATTAATAGAAATATTGGATGAGCATTTTATCTATTAGAATATAAGTTTGGCTAAATTTACATAATTTTCTGGCACTTTAAATCCTTAGTCATAAAGTCTGTATATTTTCTTTCAAATCTTGCCATTTATTCTGAATTTTACTCATTTAATAATTAATATTTTTGATTCACTTCTACTTAACTTAATAACTTTTATGGAGTAATAAGTCAATAAAATTCTATTTCTCTCAGAAAATTGGGCAACATAGGCATTTTCGATACTTAAAAAGTGGAGTACCCTATTTTTTTTCTATCTTCTGAGTACATTATATTATTTTATTTAATTATTTCAATTTAATCTATACTAACCATCTACATATCTACATGTTTTAAGATTTTACCTTTCCAAGTTGCTTTCCATTACCCAACTTTTTTTAGATTATATCCATAATCACTATGCCATTAAAGATATTTGAACTATTCTAAATTATATAGGATTTCTGGATTTGTTTATGGGTCTTTATTATAATCACTAACTATTAAATTAAAAAATGACATTCTCAATATATATCCATCAGAAGTAACATACTTGATTTCTTCATTCTTAATGATTAAAATTTAGAATTTTTTCTTTAAAAATCGATGCCAAAACAACATTTCATCTTAATACTCTTAAGATTAATAATTTTAAACATTTGATAGTATATTTAGCGTAATATTCAAAAGATTTTAAAGACTAAATACTTTTTATAAAGAAATTTTATTGCCTTCTAAGACTAATCATTAATGTATGTGATCAGTAATGATTCATAAATTTCTCTCTAGTTTTTACTTTTTGTACCTTATTATTTATTTCATTATCTTGATTTATACAATGTCTTTAGTAAAAAAGTTACAAATGTATGAGTTATTAGAGCGATTATTTTTTATTTAATTATTAAATATAAAAGAAAAAAGCTTTTACGTTTCTCTATTGGGCTATATAACTAAAGGAATAAATAAAGTAATTCACTTACATTCTCTAGAGATTAAAAAATTCTATCAATTACAATAATGGAAAAATCCTTATTTATCAAGTAATTTTAGTTGAGCAATAATATTAATTAAGTGCTGATAATACATTAGATTATTAAAAATTGATTAAAAAATGAATACAATCATATGAGTGAAATTGTGAATTACTTAATGGAAATGCAATAAAAGGAATGTAAATAAAGAATGGGTAATATGTGATATCTGCTCTAACTGAAAATTAAATGAATTTAAATTTTAGGGAGAAAAAGTTAAATCTGTTTGCTAATTGATACGTTTGTATAAGATAAAATGAGCCAAATTAATCAAATAATCCAATAACTTTTAAAATCACCATTGTGGTTTGAGATACCTAATGCTTCCCAAAGAGGAGGAATTTCTGGGAAGACTATTTATTTGTTGATATACTATATAATCCTTTGATGAAGGATTGTAAAATACTGCTAGAATCTATATATGCTCATTAATCCTTAAAAGGTAAGAGATCTATGTTATAATAATGGTTTAATTTATCCTCCTTGTATCAAATTTGTTTTTAGCCATAGCGGTAAGACAATTATGATATGGAATTAACACTAGTTAAGTATCAAACTAATTTGAAATGTTAGTTTGAATTCTTAGAATTTAGGACAGATAACTAAATCAAACTATATTAATTTATTATGATGAATGTCCACTATTTAAATTCTGTTCAAAATTCAGCTATGTTTTAACTGAGCCTTCTGTTACTCTAGGCAAAATGTTAAATATGCTTTAACCCAATAAAGTTTTAAATCCAAAACAGATAATGATTTAGTTAAATAAAAATAAGATTAAATGAATTATTATTATCCTTGCATATTATTCATTATTATTATTATTAATTTTTAATTCAATTTGTAGTTATTATATTTTCTAAATTATACTAAAAATCTGAAATTTATTTTAATTTTTCTGATCTGTAGATTGTTAGATCTTTGTACCTTATCTTAGTAAAAAAATGGTTTCAATTTTTGTTAGATCATGAAATAAATACTCTATAATTATACTGCTTAAATTAATATTATTAAGTGATAAGAAAGAGACCATGATAATCAAAGTAAATTAAGAATTTTACCTTAATGGTTAAAGGAATATTCATTAATCGTAAAAATTTTATTTTATTTTGATTAAATCATAATTTTTAGTATTTTTATTTGTTTTTTATATTATGAATAATTCTATAATCTTTAATAAATATAATTGAATATTGTGTATGATTATTTATAATTTATATATAGAATCTTTTAAAGAAAAACAACAATTTGATATAAACTCGTTAATTAAATCTCTATTCTATCAATTTTAAAATATATAAAAGAGAGCAAGTATAAGTAATTATAGATTAACAAATTCATATTATTAATGTTATTCTTTTTTA